AAACCCTCTGATTTATAGCCTACGGAACAAGGATGTGAAAGAGGCCTTAGAAAAATTGAAAAATAAAATATGGCTTTAAATATTCACATTAGGCATATTCTTACACACGTACACCCACACACACATAGTGGTTTCTGTTTCATTAAAATTATACAATATGCTAATGAGAAATATACTTTTCTCAAATTCTTAAATACAGTAGTATTTGCATTAAATTCCCATCTTAAGTATACTGCTGTTCCCCACAAACGTCCTACTTCATTATGTGCCCAGAATTTACAGATGGCACTTCTAAGTGAAAACATTTCTTTTTTATTATGCTCATTTTTTTCAGTTTTTACTCAAATGTTTTTTCAATTACACTAAGATTTATTGTGCATTTTTGAGTGACCTTTGAGCATTTAGGTCCTTTGTGGACCACAATGCATCTTGTAGTTTCTACACTAATGAATAAAAGCTAGTATTAGTAATGTATTAACCAGACATTCAAGTAATTCATAATAAGCCTCAAATTCATCATGTAATAAACAATTGAGGGCTATAAAGCCAAAACACAGTATCCAAAACTAGTGTAAAAGGAAGGCATATTTGGATAGAGAATTTCAATCTCAAATCTAAAAGAGATTCAAGTAGAGAGAAGAAAGGATACCAGGCAAAAGGTCTGGCAACTAGACAAGACTTGAGTTGGACAAGACCATGTCTTAAAGGTAAAGATGTCCTGTTTGCCATGACATGGAAGAACTGTGAGGGCAATATGTTAAGTGAGCTAATTCATACAGAGAAAGACAAGTGCTGTATTCTCACATATTTGTAGAATCCAAAAAGGTCAAACTCATAGAAACAAAGAGTAGATTGGTGGTTGCTAGGGGCTTAACTATGGGCGAAATGGGTGATTTTGATCAAAGTGTACAAGCTTTCTCTCATTTTATGAGTAAGTTATGAGGACCTAATATACATCCATGCCTCTAGTTAACAATGCTGTATTCTACACTTGAAATTTGCTGAGAGAGTAGATCTCAACTGTCCACACCATGCACACATTAGAAGTGCTACCTCTGTGAGGTGATGAATGTGTTAACTAACCTTATTGGGGTAATCATTTCACTATATAAACATATATAACATCATCGCATTGTATACTGTATAATTTTACATGCTACTTGCCAATTATGTTTGAATAAAGCTAGACAAAAAAGAAGAAGAAAAGAAGTCTAAAGGTTAGATTATACAGAACAATGAAACGAGCCTTGGTAAATTACAGCACTGTGCTGTCATCATCAACTATCAGTTCTTCTGTCATTTTCTTCAAGAGAATTTTCTTCCCTTCTTCCTCATCCTCAGCCCTGGTAAAATGCTCCTCTTCGTCTCTTTGTGGCTCACAAATACTCATCTACATAACGCACTATTTTACATCACCCTGTTTGTGAGAATTCTTTGCTAAAGGGTTGAGCTTTCCATCCTTTTACCCAAAGCATTGCATGTTGTCTGGGATACAATGGGAAGATAAACAAATGCATAATAAACTAAAAATACCAGATAATATTTTTGAGTGTTAATTTTTTTGAGTGTTAATCTTAGTAACTTAAAATTAACTGAGCATTTGGTAAGTACCTTAAGATATATACACACACACACACACACACATATACATATATGTATATACACACACATACATACATATACATATATATACATATATATACGTATATATATATGTTTGTATATATACATACTGCATTCACATACACAACAGTTTCTTGGAAGGCACATAAAATTGTTATGGACACTAAGATAGTGGATCTATAAAGACATGTATATTAATTACTCTAAAAGTAAAAGCTATAAATTCTTGATATCTATTTCATCTGCCTTTGATCTTGTTCCCTGAAGGCTAAAGCACTGAAGCAGTTTGCTGAGAAAGTGTGGTATGGCCATATATTTGAAATACCATTAAGGATTGAAGGATACTCTTAATTAAAAATTAAGAGCCACTGATGGTCTTAAATGTTCTAGCTACCATTATAAGATGACCTTATGTGAAAATACTTCAGAATGGAAGTTAACCTACAAACATCCTCTGTTATTCAAGGTGGTACTTGTGAAACACTGTAGCATGTTAGGAAAAGTTCTCACAGTAGAAAAAAAAAACCTGCAGAGAATTCTTGTTTTAGATAACAGGTTTAAAGATTTCTACTCCTATTCTATTCCTAGCATTTTTTATCAATTCACCCAAACTTTGTATTGTTGCATATGATCAGCAGAAAACAGTGGCTAAAATATATTAAAGTTAGGCAAGACAAGGTGTCAGTGGATTGCCATGAATTAAGTGATTAATAAACACATTGTCTAATTAATCCATTGATGTGTGTATGATAGATACTTATTCCAACATCTAAAGACTGAGTTGATAAAAATATTGGCTCATTTTATTGGATCTGGTGGATGTGCTATAACAAAAGGAAATTTAAGCTCATTAAATTGAAGACCAAAAATCAAACTGACTGATTTAGTTAATCGTAGGCTTCCTCTCATAGAATGGGAGAGGTTGAATGAGAAATTATGGAATTTTTTATGGAATTCGTAACTTAGGAAGTTTGGGCAATGTTGCAATGTTGCATAATGACTCTTCTTTCTTGACATTCTACAGAAAAGGGGAACACTACATCAAAGGACTTCAATGTATTTTAGCCTGTCTACTTCAATCTTCTTCATTCTTTTCCCTTTCAGTCTCTTCATATCACATCCCTCTCACATATCCATCAGAAAACTTCCTTGTCCAAATACAGATTTATCAATGACAGTGTGTAGTGAGTTAACACCATAGTCAAATTCCTATGTCTTGACCTCCTCCTTCATCCTTGCCACTGAGATACTTAAGCATAAATATGACAAAATAATGTTAGATTTGGGTACATGTCCAACACAGAGGACAGACAGATACATACTGGTCATAGGCTGTGTAAGTGCATTCGTTATAGATAGAACAGTAATGGTATTCAATAACTCAGTAAGTAGGAAGTTCTGCGTTAAAGCCAGAAGCAGCGTTTTTTCATCTCCCTGGACATCTCTCTCTTTAGAACCATGCTGTGAACCAGGTAGCACGGCCACTCTAAATTTAACTCAGCACTCTTCCTTCATATCCCTCAGACCCCCACTATGTGAACAGGACTCCAATTAGATACCTCTAATCTAGTTCTATCCAGCTGATACAATCTGTCCCTATAAAATATGACAGCTGCCATGTAAATCCATCCCCAGTGTTGGACAGGATTATGACTCATCTACAGAATGGTGAAATATAAACAATTTAAATATCAACTAATGGTGAAGATGTGGAACAACTGTGGCTTTTACACTGACAGTAGAATGAAAATTGGTAAAACTCCATGGCTCAGTCTACTACAGCTGGACATATAAATGCCCTGTGATCCTAAAATACCATTCCGGCTAGAGCCGGGTTCTGACTGAACAAAATGCAACCCAAGCCCAGAGGATGTCTGCATCCCAGAAGACAGGCTGCTCCTCAAGGCCACTAGACCAACATCCCTTCAATCTGCCTCCACCCAAAAGTTTGAACCTGTCGTATATATGGATATAAGATTTCAAATAGTTTCTTCACATATATATGTGTAAATATTTCTCTCCCGATATATTTACATGGCAGCTCATAGCTTTCAGAGACTCTCTTCTTAAAGAAAAGACTCCAAAGTGACTTTTTGCCAATTTCAATTGATCAAGCAATTTAAGTACTACAAAAATTCAAAGGGAAGATGTATAGGTACTTTATTTCTAAGGAAAATATGTAAAAACCTGTATAGCCATCTTTAATCTGCCCAAACTATCATCAGTCCATTAGAAAACTCTGTTATTTCTAATTCCAGATTATTTTATTAGTAATTTTAAAATATTTTAATTAAATATATGAGTTGTGTTGTAATCTAGTTTCATTTTTGGTGTAGTCATACCTACCAAAGCAATCAAATGAAGCAGGACTTAAGCAACACACATGGGAAAGGAGAGTAACAGACATTTTAATCCTTCAGGTTATTGTGAAAGTAGAATTTATTCTGAGACCTTGGGAAATGGGCCAATCACATCAGATGCTAAGATGGTAGACCAAAGTCCAAAGAGTGTGGAGAATTCCATTGCTATCTGCTGGGGAGGATTTAGGGAGGACATGAAATCTAATGGTACAGCCACTAAGGAAAACAGTATGGAGTTTCCTCAAAAAATTAAAAATACAACTACTATATGGTCCAGCAATTCCACTCCTCGGTATATACCTGAAGCATACAAAAACAATAATTCCAAAAGATATATGCACTCTAATGCTCACAGAGCATTATTTGCAATAGCTGAAATATGGAATCAACCTATGTGCCCATAACAGATGAATAGATAAAGAAGAGGTGGTATATGTATGCAATGGAACGTTACTCAACCCTACAAAAGATTGAAATTTGCCATTTACAATGACATGAATGGCCCTGGAGAGTATTATGCTTAGTGAAATAAGTTACACTGAGAAAGACAAATACTTTATACTTTCCCCTATATGTGGAATCTAAGAAATAACACAAATGAATGAATATAAAGGAACAGAAATAGCCTGACAGATAGAACAAATTAGTGGTTACCAGTGATGGGAATGATGGGGGAGAGGCAAGACTAAAGGGGATTAAGAGGTACAAAATAATAAGTATAAACTAAATAAAATGCAAGGATGTAATACATGACACAGGGTTATAGCCAATATTTTATAATAAGTTTATTCTGAGTATAATCTCTAAAAATATAGAATCATTAATCTGTACACCTGTAACTAGTATAATATTGTAATTCAATTATACTTCAATGAAAAAAGAAACTTCCAGTATTTCTCAATGTACAAATCTTGTACTGATAATAGCAAACACATTATTTTAAGAAAATAAAAATCAAACTCTGCTTATTTAGAAAAATCATCAAAAATACAAAAAAATTTTAAATGAATCATCCTTGCACATATGAACAATAGCATTAGGAAAATTCCCAAACCCAGTGCATTTCTATTCTTTGTACATCATTCCCCACTTTAATAGACAGAAATACTTAGTAACTATCTAGAAAGTGATTATCTTTGCAAATTCTATTAGCAATTTTAGGAAATACAAAAAATGGTACAGAACTTTTCCTAAAGTCTTAAATGTAGTAGACACATTCTTAGACAAATAAAATAAACATAATGGAGAAACAGTACACTGTGTAGAGAATGTGGTGAAGTCACAATTTCAGTGAAATGTTCTGGATGTTACATGGACGGGGAATGAGAACAAGACAATGCTTGGTGATGAAGGCTGCCCTGGAAGGTAGCATTAACAGGAATGTTACAGCATCATTATTCACAACAGCCAGAAAGTAGAAACAACCCAGTGTTCATCCAAATGAAGAGTGGATCCATAAAATGTGCTATATCCACAAAATAAAATATTATTCAGCCATATAATAAAACAGAATTCTAACACATGCAACAACATGGATGAACCTTTAACACATCTTACTGAAGAAAAAAAGCCTGGCAGGAAAAACTCATATTGCATGGTTCTGTTTATATGAGATGTCCAGAAGAGGAAATCACACAGAATCCAGAAGCAAATTAGTGGTTGCCAGGGCTGGATGGGGGGGGGTGGGGGGGGGTTGGGCGTTGGAGGGAAAGCTGACAGGCGGTAAGTATGGGTTTCTTACTGGAGTGATAAAAATGTTCTGGAATTAGACAGTGCTAATGGCTGAACAACCTTGAAAATATATTAAAATCCAAAGGACTGTATACATTAAAAGGGTTTTATGGCATATGTATTATATTTCAATATAAGAGAAAATATGATCAAAAAGATACTAATGTTCCTAAATAAGGGAGTGAAGGAGAATGTTTCAAAGACACAATGAACAATGGGAAGGAGTGGGAAATTGCTCCCCCAACAGGTAAAGAGCAAAGACTCCAATTCTTGTCATACCTGAAAGATAAAATTACAATCGGGCGACAGTGTGTTGTGTAGCAGAAGATTTTAAAAGATTTATTTAGAAAAGAAAAAAGGGCACCTCCAAGAATGGGAGGCGGGCTGACCCAAGGGAGGAAAAGCGGAGGGTTTTGTCTCCCCTTTCTCTTATACCCTCGGTTAGAGGTGGTCTTTTGATTGATTGATTGATGGCTCTTGTCCCTGGAGTGCTTAGTCATGTTTGGTCCCCTTTGCGCATGTCCTTACTCATGGTGCACACAGAAGACCCCATGGTGGGGGGGTTGCTAAACTGCAATGTTAATTATAATACACTGACCATTGGGTCAAGTCTAGTTAAGTCCTTTCTGCTACTGCACAGTCGTGGCTGTCAGATTCTAACCAATTTCTTGCTGGCGCTCATTTAGAAGAAGTAAAGTCCATTGATGCTGGAGATGGGCATAATGTCATCTTCTGGACCCTCTTCCCTCTCCTCCACTTGTACACCCAGTGCCCCCACTTATCTAACTACCTAAAAAAATGATTAAAGAGGGATCTATTTGAGTTTCATTAGATTTCCTCTGACTTGGGGAAAGAGTTTCAAGGTCACTGTGAAACATACCATTAAAATAATCTGCAGTTTTCTTCCCACTGGAGATAAGTTTGGTGATAATAATGAAGCCATTTAAGCTCACCCTTTCCTAAAGTTGCTTCTGAATTCACAGGGGAATATAGAAAAGTAGAAACATAATTAATGATGTTTTGCATAACATGAATGCCTACGAGCAGTAGCAGAGATTTAAACCCCAATGTACCTGGTAAAACAAAAGGCCGTCTGCTATTGCTCAGCTACCCAAGACTTCCTCATCTCAGGTAGGTTTCAAGGTCCTAATTTAAAGAATATAAGTCACATAGAATACTAACCTGTGGTTGCCGGGGGGAGGGTGGTGGGAAGGGACAGACTGGGAGTTCAAAATTTGTAGATACTGACAGGCATACGTAGAAAAGATAAACAAGACTATACTGTAGAGCACAGGGAAATATATACAAGATCTTGTGGTAGCTCCAGTGAAAAAGAATGTGACAATGAATATATATGTTCATGTAAAATCGAAAATTT